CCCCAAAACCCCAAAACCCCTTCTGGTATAATCCGAGAAGTTAGTGTTATTTAAATATAGTTAATTAATCAATTAATAAATAGCATTTATTGTTTCTCTGTTCTAATTCTTTTTTTAATTTCAAGATGTACTTTTCCTCAAATCAAAGTCCATTTCCTAATATATCCATTTTCTCCAAGTGCATAGAGACTGTTTTCCTCAATCTAGAATAGATTTATGACTCTCATCTGTTTGTTCTTAGCATCTTTGAATGCTCCAAATGAACTTTTAGTAACTTAGTTGTTTGCATCTATTTTTATTTCAGTGATCATGCCATTAGTGTCTCCTGCCAAGATCAAGTGCTCTCCTTTGAACTATATCACTTCGAAACAACTTATTGAGTTTGGTTGATATATTTGAAATTCTGGTGTTAACAAGTTATACTGCAATGAGATCTATCTAATTTAGATAAAACCACTTGAATCACCGGAGAGCAAGAAATCATTAAACTTCTTGAGAGTCATTACTCTTCCATTTTTATGAGCCTCTATCTTGTCTAACCCATTAGTCAATAAATTCCAACCAGTATAGCATCCATTATCTAATCCCACTACTAGGAAATCTTGACTTACTAGTTGCATTTGCAGAGGTTTTCCAGGCAAAGGAGTCTAAGCTATTTCAGTTAGTGATTTTTAATCTGCGCCAACTGTCCATGCTTTGATTGTTCCATCAAGAGAGCAAGTGAAGAAGATGTGCTGATTATTGAAAAATGAGTATTCAATATCAGTAATCATATCATTATGTGCTCTCTCCTTTAGTATAGAACTGTCAGATAGTAGAATGTTAAAATTATATTAAGGACCTCCAACCATGCTATTAGTTTGCAATCCGAGGAAAAAGGCATTCTAAAATGCTTCAAATGTCCTCAGACTTGTGGGTTTGCCTAATAGTTTAATTGGGCCAGCTGTTGTTAGTTCTTTTACATTAAATAGATATGCCTATTCATCCTCTGTCACTATCAACACTTGAGTCTTGTTGTTGATCAGCTAGCCAGAGGTAACTACTTTTCCTTCAGCAACTGGTAATTCTTATTCGAGTTTAATTTGAACTCCACTGTTTGGAAGTATGTGAGGGTACTTGCATTTAACTCTCTCACATGCTCCACTTAAATAATCATTGCAGCTGTTTTACTAAAATACTTTATGTGGGGCTGATTGCCCAGTATGTCCCTAAGATTGACCAGCGGCAGGAAAAATGTTTCCTCCCATTTCATGACTAAATGTGCATGTATCCTTCTTGAAGCAGTTCGCTCCGAATTTGCAAGGCTTTTTATTTGGCATACCTCCTAAATAAGGCATAGACATAGGTTATTGCTAATACCCTTGCCCTCCTTGACCATGCGGTTACCCTTGAGGATTTTGCCATTGCTATGGTTTGTTCTGATGTGGACCGCCTTGCCATTGAGCATGGCCACCTCCACTGCCGTCTTAGTGCTTTTTTGGATTCTTAGGATGATGAAAATTGCATTGATTTCCTTTCTTGCATCCTCCCTAACTGAGATACCATTTGCAAACTGGCTTCTTAGGAGCTCCATTTTTGCCCATCTTAGGTCCTCCAAAATTACCGCCACCACCGTAGTTTGGTGCTTTAAAATTTCCATTTCCAAAATTAGGTCCTCCGCCTCCGTAAGCTTCCATCGAAATAATAATGATAATTATTAATATTAATAATTAATGAATTAACTAAATTATATTTTAACTATTGGTGTGTTAATCTAGGCTAGAGGGGTTTTGGGGTTTTGGGGTTTTGGGGTTTTGGGG